GAAATTAGGAGGAAGGAATATCAACAATCTAAGATATGCAGATGACGCTATAATACTAGCAGAAAACCTCACAGATGTGGAACGCCTACTAAGGAAGATCAAAGAGGAAAGTGCAAAGGCAGGCTTAATGCTGAACATCAAGAAAACAAAAATAATGACCACCAAGGACCTTCACAAGTTCAACCTAGACAATGAAGAAACATAAATAGTATAATAATTCCCATACCTGGGATCAAACACTGATAGAAATAGGGACTGCAGTCAGGAAATCAGAAAAAGACTAAAAATGGGGAAGGTGGTTATGGAAGAAGTAGAAAAGATTCTAAAATGCAAAGATATACAACTCAGCACAAAAGTTAGAATCATACAAGCCATTGTATTTCCTATTACCATGTATGGATGTGAGAGCTGGACAAAGAAAGATAATAGGAAGAAAATCAATTCCTGGAGAAGAGTATTGAGGATCCCATGGATAGCCAATAGGACAAGCAAGTGTGTTTTAGAGCAGATCAAGCTAGAAACCTCCCTGGAAGCCAAGATGACCAAACTGAGGCTGTTGTACTTCGGACAAATCATGAGACAAGAGGACTCTTTGGAAAAAAACAATAATGCTGGGGAAGGTGGAGGGTAGGAGGAAGAGAGGAAGGCCACATGCCAGATGGATGGACTCTATGAAGGAGGTCACTTTGGGTATTAAGGGGTTCCAGGAATTAAGCAGAGCAGTGGAGGACAGAGAGTCTTGGAGATGTCTCATCCATAGAGTTGCCATCAGTCCAAGGGAAGTTAACAACTACAAAAACAGTAAAATAGAACCCCAAACTATAAAGAGTCACTTCACAATTATCCTCATATCAACCACTACGGAAAGGAGAGAATATCAGCTGTGTCTCTCCAAAAACTTGTCTATGTGGGGGTTGCAACTGTCCTTGCTGTTTGTGGATATGTTCAATGAAATATGCCATTCTTCCTGGACTGTTTCCCTGGTTTTATGTCCTTTATTGATTTTCAGGTCCCCCCCCTTTATATTAGGTTTTAAAATCTTAAAGACAATCATAGAATCATGGAGTTGGAAGAGACCCCCAAGGGTCATCCAGTCCAAGCCAATTCTGCAACCGCACATAGGACCTTAGATTGTCTGCAACCGCCCAGAGGACCTTTTCAGCAACTGCCCCAGATTATGGAATGGCCTGCCGGATGAGATCCATCATATTACCATCTTAGACAGCTTTAAAAACACTGTTAAGATGGATCTCTTCCAGCAGGCTTTTCCCAAATAGATATCCCAGCCACCAAGACAGCCATTCTGCTCATCCCTGATTCGGCTGTAGCTATTGTTATTTGTTTCTTGTTCTTTGTGTTATTATTTTAAATGTGTTTTAAATCATCATTATTTAATTGTATTTTAAGGGGGGTGGGATTGTGAGATATGAATGTATATTTTAAAGTGGTAAGCCGCACCGGTCGCGTTACCCAGAGGAGTGCGATAAAAATAATAAAAATTATTATTATTACTATTATTATTAGAAAGATAGATCTGTGGGTGATTTGCAGGACATTGCCAAAGGCTTAGTGATACACACCCAGTATAAGAATTCCAAGTTAAGAGTCCAGGTGTGTCTATATATTTCCTCAAGGTCACCAGCCTTGTGGAAATTGCTTATTCTTGGACTTGGTGGTCCTCATCCATAAAAACTGAATATGATCCCCCCATCTTTTTTTTTTTTTTTCGGTAGCTCTGCAGGCCTAATAGAGCCAGTGTGGCATAGTGATTTGACTGCAACTCTGAAGATCAGGTCCAATAAAAATATCCACCAAACAGCCAACCAAAATGCACATGTTGCAAGCTTTTAAAGCTCCACTGGCTTGTTTGTCAAGCAAGGTGTTAAAGGAGAAAAAAGTAGAAGATCTTAGTCCAGGGGTTGGCAACCTACGGCCCGCAGGCCAGTTCCAGCCCATGGACCGCCGATTACCCGCCCCCGCCCGCCACCTCCGCTGCATGTTTTCCAAAGTACTGCGCATGCGCAAATGAGTTGCAGCCACCATTTTGTTTTCCAAAATGGTGTCCGCAACATGTGCGGAGGTGGCGGCGGTTGCGGTGTGTGAGGCGGCAGCATGCGTGTACAAGCGAGCGGGCCGCCATTCCCCCCCACAGCCCGCCGGAAGGGACCGGCCCCAGGTAAAAAAAGATTGCCAACCTCTGTCTTAGTCAAAGGCCTGCATTTTTCTGTTTCTATTCTCAATTCAAATAGTCTGGATGGGTATCTCTTGCAGGTGGCACCTCTTCTTTCTGGCCATGTGGCAACTGGAAGTTTCTCAAACTCCAGAAAATTTAACATCCATTTGCAACACAAAAAAGATACTTCCTTTGCAGTCCAATATGTCTCCATCTGTTGAGACCAGGATTCATTTCCCACTCAGCCATGGGTGACCCTGGGCAAGTCTTTCAGCCTCAGAGGATAGCAATGGCAAACTTCCTCTAAACAAATCTTGCCAAGAAAACCCCATGATAGGTTAACCTTAAGGTCACCATGTCATATGGCACACAAGAACAACAACAAAGGATACCATCATATTTTCCATTTCTATGTATGATTGTGAAAGGTGGACAGTGAAGAAAACTGATTGGAAGAGAATAACTCATCAGAAATGTGCTACTAGAGTTCTATGGATATGGTGGGGTGCTAAAAAGGTGAATGAATGGGTCCTAGAGCAAATCAACCCTGAACTCTCCCTAGCAGCCAAGATGATTAAACTGAGACTGTCATACTTTGGACATTTATTATTATTATTAGTATTATTTATTTTATTATTATTTCCTGCCTTTCTCCTGGTATAGGGACTCATGGACATATCATGAGCAGACATGATTCACTAGAAAAAAAATAATGCTAGGTAAGGTAGTAGGCAATAGGAAACATGGAAGATTGCCTTCCAGATAGATAGACTGAATCAAGGAAGCCAAAGCCCTGAGTCTGCAAGGCCTGAGCAGGGCTGATGATGATCGGGTGACTTGGAGGTCTCATACATATAGGGTTGCCATAAGTCAAAGCTGACTTGACTGCAATTAACAACAAGAAGAAATGAAAGCAGACAAAAACATGACCTTTAAAAAGAACGCAAGTATAAACAGTGTAAACACAGTATAAACAGTATAAAGACATAATATACAGCATAAACAATATACAATATAAACAGTATAAAAACAAGTATAAAGACAGTATAAACACAAGTTTAAAGGAGTCAGCATGGTGCAGTGGTTTGAATTTTGGTTTAGGACTCTGGAGACCAAGGTTTGAATCCTGTCTTGGCCATGGACAACCACTGGGTGATCTTGGGCAAGTCACAATCTCTCAGTCTCAGAAGATGGCAATGGCAAACCCTCTGTGAAGAAACTTGCCAAGAAAACCCCATGATAGTTTCACCTCCTTAGGATCACCATAAGTCAGAAATGACTTGAAGGCACACAACAACAACAACAGCAATCAATACAGATAGTATATTATAAAGGGCCTTTCTGCTTGATCAATCAGCCCTCAAAGACCTGCTCACAGAAAAAGGTCTTCACCTACTTATGGACGGATTGCAAGGAGAGTGCCAGGCTAACTATTCTAGGAAGCCTGGGAGCAGTCACCAAGAAGGCCCTTCACCACATTTCCAGCAAAAGGGTATCTGTGAGGAACAGAGAAACAGGGATCAAAAGACCTCAAAACACAGGTAGGCTCAGCATACAACCCTTCAGATAAACTGGATTTGAGCCATAACTCTTGACCACAACTCCAGTCAGTAGGACCAATGGTGAAGGCTGGTGAACATCCATAATCCAAAAGGTGATGGCCATGTGCTCCCATCCTTGAAATACACACTTTGTGTATCACATTGTCTGTGTGTCTTTGTGAGAGCCAGCATGGCGTAGTGGTTTGAAGGTTGGACTATGACTCTGGAGACCAGGTTTCGACTCCGTGCTGAGCCACAAAACCCACTGGGTGACAATGGGCAAATCACACGCTCTGAGCCTCAGGGGAAGGCAATGGCAAACCTCCTCTGAACAACTCTTGCAAAAAAACCCCCTGGCACAGTGGTTTGAGTGTTGGACTACAACTCTGGAGACCAGGGTTCGATTCCCAGCTGAGCCATGAAACCCACTGGGTGACCTTAGGGTCACCATGAGTCAGAAATGACTTGAAAACACACAAGTTACAAGAAATGTGTCTTTGTGTATGAGTGAAAGAGGGAAGGGAAGGGATAGGAGGAAGAATGAGTACGTGTGAGTATGAGTGATTGTACGCATGCATGAGCACGTATGTATATGGGATGGGGAGAATGAAGCCAAACACCCCACCAGCTGTCCATTGTATTCTCTCACCCACTCCATGAGTACATACTCTGTTCTCAGACATAATTCAGGCACGTTGAACCATACAAGGGACAATTGTAACTTGGTATTATTCTGTGAAAGGAGCCAGGGGTTACCAGGCCATTCTGATTCCCTCCTCAGCCTCTTGAACTTTGAAATGATGTGCTTAATCATCAGCACCACATCCTTTTCTCCGCTAGGGAAAAATGCAGGTAGGAAAAGTTACTTCTAATTAGTTAGTTGCTGTTCAGGTACTGGAGTCCCAAAAATGTATTTCTGAGCTAGAAATGGAAAACTTTGGGAGACTTGGAATTGTGTCCAATGCCAGCTCAGAACAGTCACCATTCTAATTACTGTATGTTTTAAATCAACAAAATCTGATGGAGAATTCTCTCTGTCTCACCAAACTACAAACCCCACAATCCTTTAGGATAGATTAATGACAGTTCAAGAGCTATCAAACTATTATAATTGTATGGTGTGGATGCACTAACTATTGTGTGCCTTTAAAAGGCTACTATCATGAGATTTCTACCTTGAAGGTGTAGCCTTATGTGAATTCTGCAACAAGAATGTGACTCTGGAGTTTATCACATGGAAGGGAACTGGCCAAATCCGGTGCAGAAACGGGATTTAAATCCACAAAAGCAGGATGGTTTTCAGATGTATTGAGCATTAATCTGAAATTAACCTGCACAGAAAGTGCACAAATCCCACAAAAGCAGGATTGTTTTCACACACATCGGGGGCACTGAGCATTAATCCAACATTAACTTGCACAGCAAGTAGACAAAATCGGCAGCTTTTTACTTTCAGGAAAATCCCAAAAGTAAAAAGCAGCCGATTTTGTCCACTTTCTGTCCAGGTTGATGTCAGATTAATGCTCCTGAGGTGTCTGAAAATGATCCCACTTTTGTGGGATATTCCCAGAATTTAAATCCAGTTTCTGCATCGGATTTGGGCACTTAGGGCCTCTACAGACAGCGCTTTGCGCCTTCTTGGAGGCAAAGAATCATAGAATCATAGAATCATAGAGTTGAAAGAGACCACAAG